GGAGAACAGGGCCGAGGAGAAGGAAGAATGGATGGGACTCTGAATTAGCTCCTTGATGTTCAATTAGCCTGTGAATCATTAAAAACAAAAAACTCCCAAGATGGTGTTATCACCATTATTGAGGCACAAGGCCCGAGGACAAGTAAGTAATAGGATCAAAGCTAACAGGACCTCTCTGCCATACCAAGTATGGTGGATGCTAGCCATGCATTCACTGACTTCATTTCCCTTTCCTCCCAGGGTCCCAGCTGGACTCCATTGTCTAGCATGCTTGCAGCTTGGTAGGGTCACCAGGAAGTCATTCATTGGCTTCACTTTGTTCAGAGGTTCCTGGAGCCTTGAACTGCGTATGGGGATTGATAGATAGAAAGATAGATAGATAGATAGAAAGATCCCGAGCCTCTGCAGACCAAATGGAGCACAGACTCCCTAGCCTAACACCCTGTGTCTGAACGCCTTTGTAATGAGTTAAATCGCCAGTGTTTAGAGGCTAATTTATCACAAGAGTGAGAGTCTCCAACTAACTGTTCCGGAACCCTCTCTGTGGCTTAAGCAATACCCTGACAAAACAGTACCTTTTAATCACTCCCTGAGAGAGCTGCTTCCTCGTCAAGTTCTGGTTCCACTTATGCTGCTGTGATAAAAACACTTTGATCAAAATCAACCGCAGGGAGAAAGGGGTTTATAGCAGTGTAAAGTTCCAGACTATGTCCTTCACTGGGAGGGGGGAGGGGATCGGACAGAAGCTCAAAGCACCTAGTCACATAACACCAACAGTCAACAACAAAAGTATAATTACACCTTTGCTCGCTTGATCTCTTCCTGGCTCTCTCTACTTTTACACACTTCAAGTCCCAGCCTGGAGAACCATGCTACCCACAGTGGCCTGGGTCTTCCTCCATCAATTAGCAGTCCCCCACAGATGAGCCCACAGGCCCAGCTGATCTAGGTAACTGCTCAACTGAAGCTCTTCCAGCGTGGCTGTAGGCTGTGTCCCATGAACAGTTAGAAGTTACCAGCACAGTTGAGTAGCCTCGAAAGGGTGGAGAGACACTGAGCACACAAGAAAGGCACACTGACTGAGGTGAGGTGAGGCACTTTCTGAGGACACTCTGGCTCAACTGATTTGAGACAATTCTATGCGGATTGTAAAGAGTAAAAGGGACCAAGGATCTGAGTGCACAGCACAGATGCCCCTCTGATAGAAGTACAGTGTGTTTTCTTTTTCTTTCTTTTTCTTTTTTGTACAATGTGTTTTCTAAATCACAAATATTTTAAACAGACACACAAAGACATACAAATGGCCAATTAGCAATGAGAAGAGGCTTGATTTTTTTTTTTTTAGTCAGTAAGAATGCAAACCAAAGTCCCCATGATATATCCCTTCCTAACACGAGGCTAGGTACAAAATGAAAACCACAAGTGGCAGGCCCTGGCAGGGTGTGGGCAAATTGGAGCTCTTTCCATCACTGGTGCTTCTGTAGATTGGCATCACCGCTATGGATAACAGAGCAACCATTCCCAAAGGACCCAGCTGTTTGACTCCTGTATATATACCCCAACGGAGTAAACGGGGTTCAAACACATGCTTGTGATGGGTGTAGTGGGTGCACCTGTCAGTCCAGCACTTGGGCAACTTCCAACTGTTTAAACTGTGCATCACAACCCGAGAGGTGATCATGAAATTGAAGTGCACAAAATTTGACCATGATAAAGGGTTGCTGAATATGCATGGACCAAACATTAATTCAAAATCAAAGGGTGATGAACCCAGCCCTCAGTCCCATCGCTTCACACGGCCTTGGTTGCGAATACACGATGTGGGCTCTTAGCCCTGTAAATGCCATCATGCCACAAAACGTTAGCACCCGGAGTCTGGTTTGGAACAATTCCCTGATGTGAACTGTGTGTTTGCACTAGATGTACTAAGTAAGCTCCCTGCTCTTACAGAAACATGAACTTTTGGTATTTTTCCATGATCATCACTTAAATACTTAGTATTTTTTCATTGTATTGTATTAGAATGTTTGAAGGGTTTGTTTGTTTGGTTGGTTGGGTGGTTGGTTTTGGCTTTCCAAGACAGGGTTTCTCTGTGTAGACTTGGAGGCTGCCCTGGAACTCAGATCTGCCTGCCTCTGCCTTCGAGGTGCTGGGATTAAAGGTATGTACCACCACCACCTAGCTAGAATGTTTGATTTTTAAAAAATTGATAATTGAGTTGATGACTTGGGTCCTATTTAAAACAACAACAACAACCCATGATGCTGGAGAGAAGACTCTGTGGTTAAGGGCACTTGCTACTTTTACAGAGGACCCAGATTCAGTTCCCAACACCCACATGTCAGCTCACAACCATCCATAACTCCAGTGCCAGGGATCCAACACTCTCCTAACTGTCACAGGTGCCAGGCATGTACGTGATACATATGCAAGCAAATAAAATAATTACATTTAAAAAATGTTTTAAATCATTACACGGATTTGGGTTTGGGATTAGTCCAGCAATTTCTGAAGTCTCCCCAAACACACATCTGCCATTTTGTGCTATATTTATTTGAAGCTGCTTTCTCTAAATTGACAATTATGAAATCATTCAATTTTGATGTTATGTGTCCTGCAGTATCAAATATTCAGGCCAGATTTAATTCATCCTGTAAAAATAAACAAGCACATCCATCTCTATAGAATGTAAATTGGCTTCCATCGTTAATTAATGGTAGCATCATATGCATAGCAAAGAAATTATTCAAAACAATTTTATTGGGACCTGGAGAGACAGTTCAGTGGTGAAGAGTAATCAATGCTCTTCCAAAGGACCCAAGTTAGGCTCTAAACTCCTGCACCAGGCGGCTTATAAAGCCCTAGGACTCCATCTCAAGCATATTTGATATACTCTTCTTGGCCCCTGAGGGCAAACACACACTCCCACACAAACACAAGAAAATATAACCTATTTAAGAAGTAGAATAAAACAAATTCATTTATGATTAGTTACCAGTAACTAATGATTGCCTTGTATATCTGTTTCACAGACCTAGACCTAGTCCTAGGGACATAGAAAAATTTGGGAGTTAGAAAGGGGTCACAGCCAGTCATTGGTGGCGCACACCTTTAATTTGAGCACTTGGGAGGCAGAGGCAGGCGGATCTCTGTGAGTTCGAGGCCAGCCTGGTCTACAGAGGGAGTTCCAGGACAGGCTCCAAAGCCACAGAGAAACCCTGTCTCGAAAAACGAAAAACAAAAAACAAAAAAAGGGGGGGGGGAGGGTGGTCACAATCGGGAAGAGTTTAAGAAGTCCTGGGGAGCTGGGCAGTTGTGGCATCGCCTTTAATCCGAGTACTAGGCAGGCAGAGGCAGGCAGATCTCTGTGAGTTTGAAACCAGCCTGGTCTTTAGAGCAAGTTCCAGAACAGGCTCCAAAACTTCAGAGAAACCCTGTCTTATACACACACACACACACACACACACACACACACACACACACACACACACACACACACACAAAGCCTTGGGGATAGGAAAGCAAGGGGAACAAAATCAAAATCATGCCCGGGCTTGGATCATCTTCTCCAAAACCAGAGACCATTTGCTAAGGACACATGTCCAAATGCCATACAGTTGCATTCTGAAGAAGTAAATTCAGAGAAGAAATGCAGACGATCAGTTAACAGATCCTGGAACAAGGTGCAACTGGGGTGTGGCCGTACCATTCACTTATCACCCGACATACTGAGTCCCTTTACGTGACTCACTTTGTGGTAAGTGGATTGTAAGAACTGCTGCTGTGTGGTTTTCCTAGAACTATCTACCTCGTGTGCATCCGGGCCTTCGCAGGTTCTCCCGGGAACAGTGACGACAGGACAATATGGCGGAGACTAGCCTGGCTGTCAGAGAGCGGGACTCAGGACATGACCCCTTCCCTCCTCCTCTCCGGAGCCTTCCAACCCCTGCCTCAGTTCTTTGATGCCTGTCACCAGGGACCCAAAGGACTGGGATGGAAGGGCCGGTGGATTTGGATACTGAGGTGACTGTCTCAGTCCCAGCTTTAGCCACCAGTGATGCCCAAACCTCAGCCTGTGCCGCCTGCCTGGCTGGTGCTCGCTCACACTTTCGGCCTCCTGTGGTGTATCTTCTCACGGTCGGTCCTCATTCTCCCTCTTCCCAGCAGACAGATCATCAACGATCTGGTTTCCCTGTACGGCCTCCCTCCAACTCACCTCTGCCAACCTCCACAGGCTAAGCTAGGTCTCCCTGATAAGAGTTCTTCACAGGTGCTTGATGGGGCTTTGCTCTCAAAACCAGTAAGGAAATCGAGGTGAGGAGGGTTATAGCTCTGGAAGGCAGAGCAGCAGGAGGGCACAGGGGAGACACACGGGCACTCACATGCCCCAGCCCTTAGGGCTCTGAAGGTCTAGATTTGACTTTGCCTCACTTTCAGGCAAGGTCTGGGCCCCTTGGCAGCACGCCAGACCGCCCCTCACCCCCTGGATGACATCCACTTCTCTGGATGTCAGTTAGCTTTCCTCCCGCCCCAACCCCCGCCTCCCCACAGGGGGTCTCCATCTCTCCAGGGCCAGCTGCTCTCCTGCCTGAGCCACTTAGATGTAAAGCCAGCCAGCATGTCTTTGCAACCATAATGGACTGACCTCAAACTGAGAACGGCTCCTGCGGCCTGCCCAGAAAGAAATAAAGACCTGTGGCTCAGTTACTCTAGGTGTCACAAGATATCTTGCCCTCCCCAGGGGCAAGAGGCATTACACAGGTGCAACTAGCTGGTGTGACTGACAGCTGTCACTTCCTGACCAGAAAGCAGAGTCCTGGTGGCCTCCTTGAAAAGTTACAGCCTTTGATGCTGTGGAGGATGAATACAAAGGCCTTAGGGCCACACACACACACACACACACACACACACCATGACTCCGCCCCTCTGGTGACACCACCCTCTTACTTCATCCGCACCCCACCTCCCTTACGCTCAGGGTACCCGGCCCGCCCGCCCTGGCTCCTAACCCACCTTTTGGCTGACAGAGCCCCAAGCGAGCAGGTGTCCCCACAACCGCCAAGATGCAGCCATGGCTCTGGCTGGTCTTCAGTGTGAAGCTGGCAGGTAAGACGTGGGCTAGCACAGGTCTGCCCTAGAGCAGGGAACAGGAGGGACAGACAGGCTGTGGGGACAGGGCAGGCTGGTAGGCACAGGCCCTGGTCATGGGCAGAGGAGTCCCGGGAGCTCATTGCCCAGAGATGTCTGAGAAGCCTAGGGCAGAAGCCACCCACCCCTCAGCCTGAACTAGCAGGGGAGAGATGAAAGGAGGAAGAAATGAAAGAGAAGAGAGAAATCCAAACCTGAAGGACACAGGGTTGTGCCCATGCCGTTCCCAGAGCCCAGTCTGGCCTAGGCCATGGTCTGTAGACACACTCTTACTTCCGGGGAAGTGCTTCTAGTAAACTAGACAAACCCTGCCTAGCTGGCTCACGGACAACTACGGCAGGGTGCTCACTACGACCCCCTCACTGTCCAGCGTCCTCTGAGTCAGGGTCCTAGGCAGCAGGGCTCCCCCAGGAAGCATCACTGGACACCGCAGATGGGATATGGGGCTAACACAGACGTGTGGCCTAAAGTCTGTCATTGTGACCAGACCCAGCAAGAGTACTTTTTAGAGGGAGGGAGACCCCTCAAATCGCCACTGATGGAAACAAGTAAGGCTATGCCAAGCCACTAAAGCTACTGCCGATTATTCTAGAAATGCCAGGTCCCTCTGAAAATGGAATCCTGGGCAACCAAACAGATCAAAGGAGACCGGGTGTGAGTTGAAGCCTGGCTGTGTGGGTCCTCTGGGCTCGTTGGAAGGGCTCCCATTTTGTATGTAGGTTCCCTCAGTTTGGCGGTTCTGAGTTCATTCGCCCAAGTCCCGTGGCGGCTTAGGTTTGAGTGTGAGCCCACTGAGCACAGGCTGTGTAACCCTGAGCATACCTTTCTCTTGAGCTCTGTTTTGTGTAAAAGGAGTCTGTCACCCATAGGCTTTAGTGAGATCTGAATCAGACAACACACACTCGCACACACTCACACATGCTTGATGCATTGCAATATTACACTGGCATCATCACTTCACAATTACTTCCCCAAAGAGGCCAGTGACCTAAAACAATGAAAAACGGCTGTGACGGCACAGAGATGGTAGCCTGATACTCAGGGCCTGAGCACCAGGGAAATATTCATTCTCTCCATGCAAGTGGAAGCTCAGAGTGCTCCGAGGGTGGACTCCAGGTTTACTTCATCACATCAGTCCTCGGGAAGGCCGTGATGGGGTTATAAGGCCTGAGCCACAGTTGTAGGCAGTGATGGAGTCACTATTTCAGGCAGCTCCCGGGCTCACACGCCCTCCAGCCTCTGCTCAGCCAGGCCCATCCTCTGTGTTATATCTTGGCCATTGCCCTCTGCTCCAACCCAACAAAAAAGGCTTTCTGGATCAAACTGTGTTTGTGGGAACAAGCCCACATTGCCTTGGATGTGGAAGAAACTTAATGAGCCTCCTTGAGGCTTCATGTGGTGCCCAGAACATCCCCTGGGAGCGTAGACCTGCCAGCAGGATTTACCTGTGTAAATGCTGTGTAAATTACCTGTGTAAGTTACAGGCACTCCGCTGTGATTACGTGTGTAAGTGCCTCGTCATTCACATGATTTCACTTCCCTTTGCCCCTGAAATTCACTATGTAGCTTGGGTTGACCTCACACTCAAAGCAATCCTCCTGCCTCAACTTCTAAGTGTTAGGTTTCTAAGTGTGCACAACCATGCCTGCAGGACAATGGCGGCAAGCCAAGCTGTTCTTTCTTCACAGGAGACCACTTACTTGGTGACTTCTAAGGTCCCACAGTTGCTACAGGACAAAGGCTGTGTGTACAGCCATGTCTGCAATTCCTTCTGCCTGCCTTCTCATCTAAGTCCAATGAACTCTTAGCCTTGCCTTTGTAATGACTGCCCTGCCCTGAGGGGCGACAAGTCAATGGCAGGTCCCTTGCAGAGTCAGCTCCTTTAACTCCATCTGGAAATCTCACATTGTCCAAACCAGCCTTGCGCTGGGCCTGTGGCTCCAAATTCCTCTCCCAGCCTGCCCCAGTCTCCGGTGGCTTAGAGCCACCAAAGGCCTGTCTATGCCCTCACGGCCAGCAGAGGCGGCAACCAGCTGTGGCTTTTCTTTGGATATGAATTCAGTGAGACCCCGAACAAGTTAACTTCATGCCTGTGTTTTCTCATCTGGAGGAGGGGGGGTAAACATCCTGGAGCCAGTCTGAGACTTGGTTGAGACGGTTTATGCCAGGGCCACCGGTAGAAGTAGATCGTCAGTGGTAAAGGCAAGCATGGCGGACACCTGCCTTGCAGTCAATGTTTGTGAGTTCAAAGGCATGGACTGCTGATAACACCCAGCTCTTTCTCCAGGCAGAGTGTCCCATCTGTTTGTCTCTGATACAAACTCACTGTGATTCTGAGGTCCCACCACTGTGCATAGAAACACGTGCTAATGGCTTCTGCTCCTTCTAGGGTTTGAACTTGAGGCTGAGCTATCTCACAAGCCTTCCCCCTACTCTTTTTTTTTCTAAGACAAGTTCTCACGTAGCCCAGGCTAGCCTTGAACTCACTATATAACCAAACTTGAAGTTCTGATCCTCCTGTTACAACCTACAGAGTGCTGAGAGTACATGGGTACAGCAGCAGCCTGGTTTATTTCTTCTGGTTTTGTTTTTGTAGCTCTCTGGAGCAGCTCTGCCCTCATTCAGACCCCTAGGTCCTTGACAGTTCTAACCAATCAAATGGCAAAAGTGTCCTGTGAAGCTAAAACCCTCCCTAAGACCACAGTCATCAGCTGGCTGAGACAGCGCCAGGGACCCACCAAGGACAAGCACTTTGAGTTCCTGGCCTCCTGGAACCCTTCCAGAAGAACCGCTACGTACGGTGAAGGGGTGAAGAAGGAGAGTATAATGGTGTTTTCGGATATAACCCGGCACATTCTCAATCTTACGAGTGTGAAACTAGAGGACAGTGGCAGCTACTTCTGCATGATGGTCGGGAGCCCTCAGCTGATCTTTGGGACAGGGACGGAGCTGAGTGTGGGTAAGAACGGTTTTAAGGCTATGGAGCTTACGTGGGTACAGGCGTGTGGGTGCACACACACACACACACACACACACACACACACACACACACACACCAGGCACTGGGGCTGCCAGTGAGCTCACTCTGCAGCCGTGATAAGCACACCACCTCAGAGACTAGTAGAAAATGCACACTGAGAGTTACCCAGGCCAAGCACCTTTGAGGGCTGCACGTCGCTATGTCCCTTAAAGCTGCCGTCCACCCAGCAGATGGTACGATCCACTGCCACTTTGGATGGGAATTAGATGAAGTCAGTTAACCGTCGGAGCTTTTGATTCTGATGTAGACATAGCAGTGTCCCTGCCTGGACAGCAATCTCAGGAACCCAACGTGTACATACAAACTCTCACTGCCTGGGCTCACACAGAGAGTGCATTTCTGAGGCGGCAGAGAAGCAGTTGTCCTCAGCATCCTTTGTGGGGTTCTAGGGCTCAAACCCAAACTTGGGGGCCCAGGGGATAAAGAAACTGGACTCCAAGCCTAGCCAGGCTACTAATCCCATCACATGCCTTTCCCCTCCCGCAGCCTCAGTTTCCCTATCTGTACAAGGCAGCTGCTGGCCCATCTCTAATTCTTGGAAGCTGCAGTTTCATTAATTAAATGATTGTGTAAGCCATAGACACGGTTTTCCGTTTTCTAAGAGTCATCTAAGTAAGAAGAAATAAGTGACGTGGCCTTCACCGTGCATTTTATTGAACCCAACTTATCCAAACAATACTAGCATTTCAACAGGCAGCCTTTTTTTTTTTTTTTTTTTCATACATGGCATTTGGTATGTAGTCTATGTGCACAGAGTATCTCTGTTCAGACTAGCCACACTGAACAGCAAAGATTCATCTCTTGGGGTGGAAAGCGATCATCACAGATTCTCTCAGGCCAACGGTTGGCTGTAGCTCTTTCTCCAGCTCAACCCGGGACTGGGCCTCTCATTGCCTTGGTTCCCACTCACATGGGGGCTGGAAGTCACAAAGGCACCCCAGCCAGCCGAGAAGTTAGGTCACTCGGCCTAAGAAGGCCCAGAGACAGTTGGGGATGAGGCCAGCGTTATAATGGAAAACAAGACCAACAGAAGCTGAGCGATGTCTCCATGGCCTCTCTCGCGTCTGGTCTTTCAGGCTGGTGGGGGTTAAGGTTGGGTTGTGTTTGCTTTTCTACTTTTGTTTCTTTGAGCTCCGTGCCTTCCCAGTGCTTCAGGGTCTAAGAAAGGTGGGTGTGAAGTAAGAGCAGGCGATTTTCCAGCTCTCCCTGTCCCAGGCTGTGTTTCCAAGTCCTGTGTGCTGCCCAACAGACCAGGATCCTCAGTCAGTCTTCCCAGTGACAAGGACACCCAAAGCCTGAGCCGTCCTGCTGGGCTGGAGGGTCCAAGTGATTTGGAGGAGAAACTTGGGTAATGTAGAGAACTGGGGAAAAACAGCCCTTGTTTGGGCCCTCAAGCACACTCTGGGTTCCAAGGACCTGTCCCTCTTTAAAAAAAAAAAAAAAAAAAAAAAAAAAGAAAGAAAGAAAGAAAGAAAGAAAGAAAAGAAATCAGAGAGGGAGAGGTTGAATTCACAGATCAGGAGAAATTGAGGACACCTGACTCAGAGAGAGATGAAATTAAACAGAGACACCTCCCCTTGTCCCCAAGCCCTCCCGTCAGACTCAGGCTCCTACTGTACCAGCCAAGGTCCCCGGAGGCTACAGCTCCCCCCATGCTCCACACTGAGCACTGAGAGACTCCTGCTTGTTTTGAGACAAATGGACCCAGCTTAGGAATCATATGCGCTAAAGGACTCAACACCCAGCAGGCCCAGGCTTTTGGACCTTGTCACTGCTGTTAACTGTCCCTCACAACAGCTCCTTGGCACCAATGGTCAAAAGCCTTTCGGTGACCAAGCGTGGTTAATGTGTTGACAGACGTGGTATGGGAAATGGTCCTTTGGATTTCCTAGCCCCTCTCCTATTACTGGCCATCAGCGCCACGGTCACCTGGATGATGTATGGGTCTTGCTTCTTTCTGTAGTGGATGTCCTTTCTACAACTGCCCAGACCACCAAGAAGACTGTCTTCAAGAAGAAACTATGCCCAGTCCCCAAACCAAAGGCCCAGAAGGGTAAGTTTTCCATCAGTGCACTCACAGGTTACAAGAAAAAGGGGCAGCCCTCGCCGTTCCTTTCCTTTCCCTCTTTCTCTTGCTTCCTTCCTCTCTTCCTTCCTCCCTGGTACAAACTCTTGCTGAACCTTTGTTCTGTAGCCCCACCCTAGTGTCAACAAAAGGGACACTGAGTACCACAGCAAGTCGCAGCCAGTGAGGCCACACTCACAACTCGTCACAGAATGAGATGTTCAGGAAAATACAGCCCCCCCCCCAGACCCTGAACACAGGTGCTCGCAGCAGCACAACTCATCACAGCCAGAGAAGTGGACACAACCCACATGTTCCCCAACTAACGCACAGGCTAACCAAACAGGACGCAGGCAAGGCGAGGACACACGGGGTATGCAGTACTGGCCTCACAAGATGGCTCAGAAAGTAACCACGCTTGCTGCCAAACCTGACCGTGTTCGGTACCCGCACGGTACAAAAAGAAAGCTGACTCTGGCAAGTTGTCCTATAACTTCCACGTGTACCATGGCACTCGGATGCCCGTGACATATACTCAGTCAATCAATAAATGTAATTTTAAAAAATACTTAAATACTGGCTGGGTATGGCAGTCCATGCCTAACACTCAGGAGGCTGAGGCCGGGTCAGCCTGAGCTATGTAGAGAAGCCCTGATTAAAAAAGAAAGAAAGAGCCCAGATGTGGGGGCGTACGTGTGTAATCCCAGCACCATCGAGGCTAGCCTGGGCTATGTAAGACCCTGTCTCAATGCCCCATTCTCAAACAATATACTGATACATGCTTAAGTTTAGATGAACCTTGAAAATGCACACAGAAAGGTCAGTTACAAACAAACAAGAAACCCACGCATTTTAGCCAGGTGGGGTGGTTCATCCTTCTAATCTTAGAACTCAGAAACAGAGGCAGGTAGATCTCTGAGTTCAAGACCAGGCATTGGGAACAATGAAAAAATCTTAACCAGTACAGAAGTGTTGTCTTGTCTTGTTTTTCTGAAACTCCCCAAATGCCCCAAAGTTAGACAACATGGCTCTAGAAAGATTCTAAAAGCCATTGAGTGGGTGTTTAAGTTTTCACTGAGGCGTGGTTTTTCTGTATAGATCCAGGCTGCCTGGAACTAACTTTAACCCAGGCTGACTTCAAATCCCCAATGCTTCTGCCTTAGCCTTAGGCTCACAGGTTCTGGGATTATAGATATGTACACCTTGGTCAAAATTCTATACTTGCAACAGGTAGAGTTTCTGGCTTGCAAATCATATCACAATCAAGCTGCCAGCAAACAAAAGCTTCCGGGAAAAGGACCAGCCCTTCCCTCTTTTCCAGTCTGGGTGGCTGACAGAGGACCTAACATGATGGGTGGGACTCTGGCAAGCTAGTGAACGGAGGCCAGGCATCTCAGCTGGAGCAGGCACATAACCTACCTTTGAAGCCATAAGCTCAAATGTGTGCTGGAAAAATACTGACTTCCACCCCCAAAAGTTACTGGTGACAAACAGGGAGGTCTAGCTGCCACTACCCAAAGAACAAACCACACAACCAATGCACTCCTGGGCAGCTTGAGTGGTTTTGCAGCAACATACAAAGTTCCCAGAGGAGATGCTCCCTGCAGGGTCAGGGAGGCAGGGAAGGGGGCTGCCTCCTGTGGTCACCATGAAGGTTTGGTCTTATGCCTGTAATCCCAGGACCTGGGAGGGTGAGGCCAGCAATCAGGAGTTCGAGGCCATCCTTAGCTACAGTGCAAGTTTGAGACCAGCCTGGGCTATATGAGATCCTGTCTCAAAGAAATCAAAACACTAATCAAAAAAGAAAATGCAAGCCCACGAACAGAAAGCCTTTCTGTTAGGAATACGAATACGAAGGGGAAGACAGAGTGACTTCATTTTATAACCCATTGTGCCCTGAAAGCTCAGTTAAAAAAAAAGTCAAGCAACAAAGATACAAACCCCACAAAGTTCAGCCCCTGTTGGCTTAGTTCTTCAGAAGGCTGAGGCAGGGGGAATCACTTGAACTCATAAGTTTGAGAGTAGTCTGAGCAACATAGTGAGAGGCTGTCTCAAAAACAAATAAGCCAGGCATGGTGGTTCTTGCATGTGATCTCAGCACTCAAGAATCTGAGGCTAGCCTGGACTACAAAGCAAGTTCTAGGCCAGGCTGACCTACAGAATGAGAATCTGTCTAAAGATAAACACGCGTGTGCACGTACGCACACGCGCGCGCGCGCGCACACACACACACACACACACACACACACACACACACACACGGGAGAGGGGAGGGAGGGAAGGGAGAAGGAGAGAGATCTTTTATATAGAGAGGCAGCAATCAGTTAGAACAAGTAACCATGTTCCTCCAACCATGGCTTCCATTTCAATGCGGTCCCTCCTCAATGCCCTGCCCCCTCCTCCTCTGCTGCTCTGCAACTAGTTCACTACCTGTGAAAACAGGCACGGATAACTCGCACGCATGCAATCAGCTTCCCTCACTAGAGCCTCACCAACTGGGTGAGCCATGGTCGACTTGCCGAGCTGTGCAAGTGCCTCCTCAGCGCTCTGCCGGCTGAGTTAGATCCCCAGTACAGGCCTCAGTTTCTCAAAGCCACAAGTGAGCCGGGATGATAAAACAACCCCGTCTTCCAGCCTCAAAAGCCGAAGCTTTCAGTTAGCACCATCCCTGATGCACACTGTACACAATGAGCTGAATTCCTCTCCTCCTTCGCATGCAGAGGGCTTTCTAGAGTTCTCAGCCAAGAGCCCAAACCTGCACTCTGTCCTTTCACCCATCGGCTTGGCTCTGCACCTCAGCCCTATATGGAGACCCATTATGTGGCTGATCTGACACCAGAATACTGAAGACGGATCCAGAACATTAAGAAGGCAAGCCCTGCCGCTTAAACAGCATGCAGAAACTAAACACGTGAACACATACACAGATCGCAGAAGAACACTCAGGCAAGTGGCTAGTGCAAGCAAATAGGCTGAAGCCCACACGGCATCGGGACTGAAGTACGATCAACCAACCTCCCTCTCTCTGCCATGCAGACACACGGGAACAAAAGCTAAAGCACCATTAACAAGGGCGGGTAAGGTGCATCGTTGGCTGGGAGTTAAAATGAAGGCATCTGGCAGTTTACTAAAACCAAAATGGACAGAGTCTGTGGTTTAGTAGTTTCCATTTTCAGCTCCTGCCTTAGGAAGGCACCTGCATGCAGAAAGGTGCCAGAATGTTCTCTGTGGGGCTGTTTATAAAAGTAAAGCATGGGAAGCAACTAAGATTCCCACTGGTAGCTGAATAAATGATGGAGCATCCAAGGGCCACCTCTCACTCTGCTGAGGGAAAGAATGTGCTGGCATGATTAAAGGGTGGGGAGAAATGCATTTGCAGAAAACAAAATGAACACAGTACAACCCACAGTGCTAGAAAGGAGAAAACTAAGAGGCCGAAGATATAGTTCAGTTGATAGAGTGTTTGCTCGAGACGCGCACAAAGTCCTGGGTTCAATCCCCAGCTCAGCATAAGTGGTCATAGCGGCCCACAAGGGTAACCCCAGCACTGAAGAGATGGAGACAGGAGAATCAGAAGTTCAAGCGCATCCTTGGCCACGGTGAATTAGAGACCAGCCTGGGATACAGAAAAACTTATCTTTAAAATCAAAACACAAAGGTTAGGGGGATGACTTTTTTAGGGTAGAGAGCTTGCAGTTCCTCAGTTTAAGACATGAGCACCCACATAAAAAGCTGGGCATGGTGTCAGACACCTGTAACCCCAGCGCTGGGGGAAGGTAGAGACAGGAGAACCTGGGCTTGCTGGCCCCCAGTAGCGCCAAGTTTAGTGAGAGACTATCTCAAGGGGAGGAGGTAGGAAACGACAGGGCAGGGCACCTGCCACCCTCCCCTGGTCTCCACACTCACACACATGTGCACACACCCCACGTGCACACTCACATACACGCATATGAAGAAACAATAAAAATTGCACATGCCTGTGAATGGTTAGATGCAAAGGGGAAGATTTTGGAATTGTCAGGGTTGCTCTGTGACCGTTCTAACAGGAGTAAAGCACAATGACAACATAGCTGTCTATATTTTTTTGGGTGAAATTTAAATAAAGGTTTTTTTTAAACGAATAGTAAAATTTTATTAGTATGAGGTGTGTCTACTTCCTCTGAACATAAACAGTGCCCGAGCTTTATTGACTTGTAAAAACATAGATGTAACATGACATTTTTTATATAAGATTACCTCAGTGATATTTAAAGTGAATTTTAAAGTCAACCAGACGGAAGTATGATAAAAATACAACCATTGGGGTTACCTCCCGGGAGGGGAGTCAGACAGATCTCTGTGAGTTCCAGGCTAGCCAGGGCTACAAGATGAAGGCTGTATAGTAAGACTCTGTGTCAAAAACAAACAATAGCAAGCCGACCAGTGACACCCTCTGGGAGGAGGGGCTGCTCCCTGCCTGTGTCTGAACAGGGGTGAATCCATCTCATGTGTCCTGTGTGTCTTTTTCAGGCCTGACATGTGGCCTCATTACCCTCAGCCTGCTGGTGGCCTCCCTCCTGGTTCTGCTGGTGTCCCTGAGTGTGGCCATTCGCCTTCACTGTGAGTTGATGCTTAAAGGACGTTGTGGGCCCCATTTTGCTACCTTAAGTCTCCCCAGGCACACTTTCTTCCCTAGGGCAGCAAAGCAGATGGCAAATTCACCCAACGAACCTTGTGGCTCTGCAAATGGCTCTTTTTGTCTTTGAAGGGCTTTGAGGGAATGCAGGGACTTGAACCCAGGGCATGCTGGATGCCCTCTACCACAGTGCCTGGGAGGTTTAAAAAAAAAAAAAAAAAAAAAAAAAAAGAAGGATCAGGAATTCAAGGTCAGCCTGGCTAATGAATCTATGGTTTGAGGCCAGCCTGGGCCACCAAAGATCCTGTTTCAAAAACAAAAACATTCTGCGGATGTAGACACAGCACAGCTGTCTTTCCCCTGCTGCATCCCTGTAGGAGTGCACACACGTGCTGCTTTGGATGGCGAGCTCTGGACTCTGGCCTGCTTCAAAAGGCAATGACATTTGTTGTGTGCTATTGAGATTAACCCTAAGGCCTTGTGTCCCACCACTCTGCTGCTGATCCCCCCGCCCCTGTTCCCAGGAAAGCTTATTTAAGGTAAAACTGGAGTAGATGAAGTTTGCTAAAACTCTGGCACTAGCTACATGACTTTCAGGCAAGTTGTTTGGCAATTCGCATGCATGTGAGGTGGATACAGTGGTACTGGGATCTGGTAGCATGCGTGAAGGCTGTTAAAAATGTGGAATGGATGAGTGAATAATCGTAACTATTTTAAACCTATATAAGCAAACAAGAAACGTGTGAATTGTGAAGAATTCGGGGCCCACCCTAGCACCCCAGATGAAGTAGTGAGTGTTGGTTCACCCTGCTGTCTGCCTCTTGGGCTCTGAGGCTTGATGCTAGCGATCGTCCAACCAGCGCTGACTTGCCTTTGCTCTGCTCTTTCAGGCCTTCGCAGGAAAGCCCAAATTCGCTTCATGAAACAGTAAGTCACAAACAGGGCCCGAGGGTGTGGATGACTTGGAAGACTGCTTGCCTAGCCTGCCCAACTATGTAAACCAACATAGTGGTTTACTCCTGAAATCCCAGCACTAGGAGGTGGGTTAGAAACTCAAAGTCACGTGGGAGGTGGTGCCCGCCTTTAGTTCCAGCACTTGGGGAGGCAGAAGCAGGCTGATTTCTGTGAGTTTGAGGCCAGCCTGGTTTAAATAGTGAGTTCCAGGACAGCCAGGGCTATGCAGAGAAACTACCAAAAAACAAAATACAAAATATAAAATGAAGTGGATTAGAAATCCACTAGGACATGGATTCAAAGTCACCAGGCTGTGGTGGAGCACGCCTTTAATCCCAGCACTTGAGAGGCAGAGGCAGTCAGATCTCTGGGAGTTTGAGGCCAGCCTGCTCTGCAGAATGAGCTCCAGGATGGCTAGAGCTGTTACACAGAGAAATCTTGCCTTGAAAAACCAAAAAGAAGCTCAAAGTCTTTCCCTCCCATATAGTACCAGGCCAGCCTGGGATACAAACCTTATCTCAGAAATAATCAACCAACTACATAAATTTAAAAATAGACAAAAAAAGATCATGTGTTTTTACCAGTCGACCCTTAACAAGAGCCAAGGCTTGTACACGACAGAGGCTGTGGTTGCTCTCTGACCTCACAACTAGGACCCCACCCCCAGGCTCAGGCAGTGTACTGGGATTTGACTGGTTGTTGTTTTGAGACAGAATCTTCTGTATTCCAAGGCTGACCTTTGGCTCCTCATCCTCCCACCTCCGCCTCCAGAGTGCTAGGACTGCATCCCTGTACCACCACCACGCCTGCTATATGAGCGCTGAGGACCTGGTACACAGAGACTGCCCTGCCACCTGAGCCCCAGGCCCAGCCCTGGGAGCTGATGTGTAGCACAGAGGCTGTTTCACATCTGCTGGCCACACATATCAGTTTGATCCTCAGACACACAGACGCACGCACACATGCATGCATGCATGGGCGCGCGCACACACAAGCGTGAAGATAGAAAGGACCACGCTCCCAAATGGAAGAGGGCAACAGAACTTTCTGCTCAAGGGAGAGACATGCCTACATCTAAATCGGCGGCAAGCATCTCTACCCGCTGAGCCCTCCGCCCCCCCCACTAGATTTTATGGGCTATTTGCAATTATAATTTAGATGGTGAGCAAGTTCTGCTTTGTGGGCTGGAATTCAAAACCACCTTCCCCTAACAGACGAGAACCACAACTTGAGAGCTGCTAATACTAGACCTCCCGAGAGTTCTGTGCAAAAAGCCCTCCTTGGGGGCCTTTTGTAGAGAGCCAGTCTAATCCTGCCACTCATTATGATGTGTGCCAATGTGTCCTTTAATTTTTACCTGGTCCCCAGTGACCTGATAATGCCATTTTTAAAGAAGCTGGTGATGGGACCCTGAGATTTGGCAACCAGGAGTTCTGTGGACCAGTAAGGCAGAGTGCACAGCGTGTGTGTGTGTGTGTGTGTGTGTGTGTGTGTGTGTGTGCGCGCGCGCGTGTGTGTATGTATGTATGTGTGTGTGCGTGTTGAGACAGGGCCTCACAGGCTGGACTCTAGCTCATCTTAGACTCCTAATCCTGTGAAGTTGGCTTGTGGCTTTCAAACCCTTAAAAGCCCCTTCTAGTTTTGCTGTTATGGTCCAGGCATGGTCACAACAGCCCCTGGCCCTCACAGACCAGCTATTGGCAAACCTGTGATTTGAGGCAGGAATTCCCAACCTTCTCCTGTCTGTAATCCCGCCAGGGGCCAGCGCTTAGAAAGTGTGCACTTAGAAAGTGCTTTAATAAGCAACGCCATCCAAAGCAAATGTCAAAGCTTGTGACATTTTTTAAACCTCTCCTTGTCATGTGTGTACATGTGCATGATGACAGGTCAGAACAACAGGTACTGGATGCTGAACTCACATCATCAGGCTTGGAAGCAAGCACCTTTACCCACTGAGCCGTCCTACTAGCCCCAAAGCCAGAGTAGTTTTGAGCTACATCTGTGTATGTTATTTTGTTGTAGTTTGGTTTTTGGTGTTGCTACTTTGTTCTTTGCTTTTTAATGACAGAGATGGGCCCTAAGAAACACTGTAACATACAGCTGTCAGCCGCAGGCACACCCGCTTCCTCCTCCACCTGCCATTTGCTTCTGCTACAAGAAATGTAGTGTCCCTAGGCTGAAAATAAGAGTCTTACGACTTGCTCTTGCTTCCCCAGGTTTCACAAGTGATCAGCACACACAACACCGACATCCCGTCACAAAAGGACAATGCTCAGTAAGAAGCAAGATCTGGACAAATGAGAGAAGGGTCCATTCTACCCTGGGGATTCCACTGCCTTGCTCAAGCCATCTGCTTTGAACCACTGCAAGGTCTGTCAAGCCATCTGCTTTGAACCACTGCAAGTTCTGTCTGTGACCTCAGGCATGGGAACCTCTTGCTTGTTTACCTGGAGTCTCACAGAGAAGGCTCCAGAATCCAGAGCCATTCACAGAGTGTGCTGAAGAACCAAGAACGCCCATCATGACACCCCTGTGGTCCTGGCACCCTTCTTGGACTGGGCCTTCAGCCACTATCTTTGTAGGTTGCTTGGTAGGGCAGCAATTTTGGCTCTTTGGCCTCTCATGGGAGAGAGCTGGGGATGGGGGCCACCCTGGGTCTTCCCAGAGAAGACGGTCCGTCCTCACAGGGAGAAGCCAGCTTGTGACTGAAGAGTCCCACAAACTGCATCTAGGCTCTCGCCAGCTATCTTCGTCTCTCTTGGGAACCTGTTGTGTCAGGAGACAGACTTCTTCATCTCCTAGTAGGAGATTCTTAAGCTTCACTTCTCTCTCGTGGCTTGGATATTTCTCCTCTCTGCCTCTGCCGTTTTTATGGAAAATGTCATGGCTGTAAAAATAAAGTCCTGTGTTACAGACACAAGTGGTTCCTGTGACATTCGAGGGTAGCCCCTCTATAGTAAACGTGTTGACGTTAGTCAAAAAGAACAAGAGTTGGGAGTGTAGAAGACTATCCTAAATGATATAAGGTCACCAGCCCAGGGGTCATTTTGTGCATTCTCATCTTACATCTAAGACCCTCATTTGGTCACACAATGTGCCCTTACCTTGAATCGTGGATGAAAAGGTTAGGAAGTACCCAGGACTCCCCAAGCCAGGCTGTGCTGCCTCCAGACCACACACATGCTATCACCTGCAATGATACTAGAATCGCTTTTGCTAGAGAAGAGCAGGTGTTGGTTCCAGCCGTTGGAGGGCTTTGGAGTCTGTTAGCAGGAAAGAGAGTGGTTTTATTTACTTATTTTTGAGACAGCATCTCACTATGTTCTATTGCATAGAACTATTAGGTAGATAAGGTTAGCCTCCAACTTGCAGAAATCCACCTACCTCTGGCTCCCAAGTGCTTGGATTAAAGGTGTGAGTCCTACACCTGACAATTTTTAAAATAGTGTGTGTGTGTGTGTGTGTGTGTGTGTGTGTGTGTGTGTGTGTGTGTCAGAGGCGGGGAGTCTAGAACAACTTTCTGAAATTTTTCTCCCTGTGCCCTGACTCCAGGCATAGAACCCAGGCCCTGGGGCCTCTCCTTTACCCTCTGAGGCATCTTACCAGACCATCCTGGCTAACTTTTTACAATTTGTTTGCTTTTTTACAAAAATTTTTAGAGAATGAGCTTTCTTATGGTGTAATGAGTTTTCTACATCAGTAGTCCTCATGTTCCTGGAGAAGCCTGGTAAAGTTTTGGGTTTTGTTTGTTTGTTTTGCTTTTGTTTTTTCTCTTGTAATAAGCTAGGGAGGAAAGAACAGGCATATGCTGCTGACAATTGCAGGCAGGCACTTTTGGTGGTAACGGGTTTTACAGATTAGAGCCATGAAAACCTGTCACCTCATGTCCCCATGTGACCCTCCCTACTTCAGTCTCAGCACTTGCTCTGAAGGTTAAGCTCGGGGGACATCTGCCTCAAGACAAGCTTGTACCACAGCAAAGGCGTAAAACCAGAGTAATGATCGACTCGTTTGCTAATCATGTTTTAGCCTCAGGGCATGACCAAGGAGCAACCGACTGCTGAACTGCAGTCAGGGTGGAGAAGAAGAATCCCAAATTTTAAAAAGTCCCTTTGTCCGTCCGTCTGTTTGCCTCCACCACGGCCTCTCACCCTTTAGGACTAGCAAGGCAAAACCCATTGCAACTGGCATGCACATTCACAGAGGCATTGTGACCTGGACCATCCTGTCCGCTCCTCGTGGTCACTTCAGAGAAGGGTAAGGGCAAACTGGGCTGTGTTCTGAGGTCTCTGCTAGGCGCAGAGGAAAGATGACTCCAGAGGAAAGACAGCACAACCCCCTCCTGCATCTGAGATGCAAACTGCGGCAGAACCAGGTGCAGGAGATCCCCCACTGAAGCAAGAGCTTTCTGCAAAGGACAGGCTGTGTCCCAGACTGATGGGAGAATAGAAAATGACCAAGGTGGTCTCTTGCCTAGCCACACCGTGTAAATGGCAAAGGCTGAGACCCAGGCTGTGTGCAGCCTGTGCTCCCTGAAGGCTCATACCCTGTCCGCAGCGGAAGGAAGAGCACGCCCCTGGTCCCTCAGGCCACCTCAGCGGTGATATTTGAGCATCTCCCTGCCTCTGTCTCTGCAATTGCATTTGCTTGTTTACCAGTTCAGGTGGGGCTGGGCTGGCAGGAGGTTGGCTGGCTGCCATGTAGCAGGCAGCTGCTAAGGGGGCTCAGCTGGATCAGAATTGGCTGCCAAGGGCTGGGGGCTGTGGGCTGTGGGTTGTGGTGAGGAGGCCTGTACCCAGCACCTGACTATTGTATGGAAGAGGGAACTGAGTTGTCAGTACTGCCATAAGTCTTTAATATATACCTTATGCTGCCACGCTGGGCCTGGCCTTCATTTTAAATAGGTCACAAGCCGTGCACAAAGAAAAACACATTGAATTGTTCCTTGTGGTTCTGCTTAGTAGCCTAAAATTGGAAACACTCAAAGGTCCAACAAAAATAACCTCAAAACTCTGGCTTCAACATCCATCCCGCATGTTAAAAAAAAGGGGGGTGGGGTAGGATTATGAAAAAGCAATTAGATAGATATGGTCCAGCTTTATATGTGAGTTTATGCCACTGTTAAGAAATGTGTTAGCTGGGCACCAACACTCGAGAGACAAAGACAGGTGGATTTTTATGAGTTCAGGGCCAGCCAGGGTCACGAGGTGAGGATATATATATATATATATATATATGTATGTATGTGTGTGTATATATATATATATATATATATAATACAAAATGTATAAGAAAAGGAAAATGAGCCAAGTGGTGGTAGCAATGTGTACCTTTAATCCCAGCACTCGGGAGGCAGAGGCAGGTGGATCTCTGTGAGTTAGAGACCAGCCTGATCTACAGAGTGAATTCTAGCACAGAGAAACCCTATCTCAAGAAACACACACACACACAGAGAGAGAGGGAGAGAGAGAGAGAGAGAGAGAATATCACCTCACTGTTTTTGAAAATTGGATTTTTTTTTCTAATAGTCTACACAGCCTCCAAGCACATGTTTTATGTGCATGGAAAAGGGCCTGTAAGAATTTACTCCAAGAGATGTCTCAGTGGTTAAGCTCTTCCAGAGCTTCCAGCATCTGCATGGCAGCTCACAACCATCTGTAACTGAGTTCCGGGTGGATCCAAGGCTGCCTTCCGGCCTTCACAAACACCAGGTATGAAAGTAGTTCCCAGACATTCATGCAGGCAAGAGACCATACACACAAAAATAATTTTTAAAAAGGAATTTACTTTAGGCTGTTACGAGCAGTGACTCTGGAGACTTCCATCACCCAGGGCCTGAAGGTGTAACTCAGAGGGTAGAGTGCTTGCCCAGCAGGCATGAAGCTCTGGGTTCAATCCCCAGCACCTCACAACCCCAGAGCAGTGGTGCTCGCCTGTAATCTCAGCACTCAGGCGGCAGAGACAGGCGGGTCAGAAGTTTAAGGCCACCTTTGACTACGTAATAAATTTGAGGCCTCATCTCAAAATAAAGCAATAAAATAAAGCCCCAAGTATAGAACGTTGCAAAAATGAGTAAGATTAGTACTTGGGCCAATTTTGTATGGATCTGTGCTTTCATATATTAATTTTATGATGGTGGAGACAAAAGTTTGTAAAAATTGCAATTGTAAAAAAAAAAAAGACAAAGCAGAATATCTGAATATGAGCAATTCTGAAAATTATTGCAGTGTGTCTGAGGCCCCAACACAGCAGTCCCCTTGCTGGCAGTCTAAATGGCTTTGGCTGTACAACATAACCCAGCTTTGCTGGGATCCAGAATGTCAGTAGTGTCTGCCCCTCTGCCCTGTGGTGGGTCTGGGCTGACCGCAGCCATGAGAAACCCTGGAAACTGTGCTGTGTCAGTAAAAAGCAGAGCCGCAGGTGCGCTGGCCACCGGGCCTATCCACGGGAGGAAAGGGGTCCCACACCAGCCCTCTCCTCCTTACTCACCGCTCTCCCAACCACAGAAGCTCCTCAGCACCTATAGGAAGTGGGCGACTTGTTTTCAGAAAGAGATTCCCCAGCTCTTGTGGGCTGAGAAGCAGATCCGAATCTACCACCCAGTCAAAGAGAAAGAGAGAAAGGGCCCTGGGTTCCCGGGCCTCTCCAGGTGGTAAAGGACAGACTGCCTCTGTCAGTTCTCGGGAACCCTCCTCGGTTCGTCACTCTTCAGGACGTGAGTCACTGTTTCTTGGAGTCTTCCCATAGCGAAGTGCGTGGACTGGGATCTGAATCCAGTCTCAAGTTTGGGGTAAAAGACAGACGAGTGTCACCTCTGTTTTTGTGGTGGTTGTGTTTTTGCTGTTTTAGGGAGGTTGATGTTTGGTTTGGTACTGTTTTTTGTTGTTGGTTTTTTTTTTTTTTTTTTGAGACTGGGTCTCTTGTGGTCCTGGCGGACAAGGTGCTATGCAGCCTTGAATGTCATTGAACTGCACATTCCTCAGTCTTCCTCAGCCTCCCAAGTGCTGTTCCAAGGAGCAAGCCACTGTGCCTGGCTGTTTGGGTTTGAGATAGCCTGTCCCTTGTGGGGGGATCTCCATACTAGTTCAAATATACTTATCTGGATCACCTTCCACAGCTCACCCTGCCCATGGGCCAGGGGTACAACAAGGGCCAGCTATCAGGGCCCTAGGGTATGTGGTCTTACTCACAGACACTTAGCAAAAAGACTTCACAGTGTCCTTTTCACCAGCTGCAGCCTACAGCAGCCCGCGCCCCTCCCCCTCCCCCTCCCCCCCTCCTCCCGCCATCTGTTCACATAGCCAGTGTTCCTCAGCCTTGATGCAGGAATCAAAGCAAAGAAACCAAGTAGAATGCTGTAAAGGTCTTCATGATCCTCACAGCAGATTCTAGTGAACTGAGCCCGAGCATGCCTCTCCTGTGGCGCCCCCCTGCCCCCCCCCCCCCGTGGCTGTCCCTCCCATCCCGGGCTGCATATCTAGTTTTAAGACATCCTGGTTTACATAGTGACACCTGTTCTCAAACAAATTTTGGAGACAAGTGAAAACTGTCGTTGGCATGCATGTGTTGCTGGGTAAAGCCAGCCAGGTATAGTGGCGCGTGCCTATAGTCACAGCCCTTCGGAGGTGGAGGCAAGAGGATCCGAAGGTCCACTTCGAGTACATATTAAACAAGCGACAAGAGACCCGGTCTCACAAGCTGCTGAATTGGGGGCCGGTGACTAAGGCATTGCTGATGTCAGGAAGATGTGCACCAGCCGTGTGGAAAAGAGCTTGGTAACACTGTCTGTGGTAGTTAAAGTGAAAGGTGCCATCTAACTCAACTGTCCTGGGATGAAGCCCCAGAACATGAGAAGAATCATTCCAATAAGAATAAACAGTATCACTCCAATATCATTTTGGGGTGGTGCAAAATAACTGG